AGAGCTCAACAGTTGATAAAACTTAACATCCTTTCCCAAATAAAAGCATGTAGTAAATCAGGAATATAAAGAAAGTTCTTTATTTTTTTAATTTTTTAATATTTTTTATTGATTTATAATCATTTTACAATGTGTCAAATTCCAGTGTAGAGCACAATTTTTCAGTTATACATGAACATACATTCATTGTCACATTTTTTTTCTCTGTGAGTTCCCACAAGATCTTGTATGTATTTCCCTGTGCTATACAGTATAATCTTGTTTATCTGTTCTACATTTTGAAATCCCAGTCTATTCCTTCCCACCCCCTGCCCCCTTGGCAATCAAAAGTCTGTATTCTATGTCTATGAGTCTGTTTCTGTTTTATATTTATGTTTTGTTTGTTTGTTTGTTTGTTTGTTTTAGATTCCCCCTATGAGCGATCTCATATGGTATTTTGAAAGAAAGTTCTTTAAAGATGATAGTGTGCTTAAGGAATAGCTAACACCGACTAGGGCAAGTACTTGTCATACCACATTAAAGACTGGATGCCTGTTATCTTGTCCTGTATTCAAAACTTTTCTGAAGTTTTGGCCAATACACCAGGAAGAGTGAACACTGCTTTATCCGTAGATGATACAACTGTCGAAATAAAAATTCAGAGAGATCAGCTGACAAGCTATTTAAACAAATAAGACACTTTCACAGTGTGGTAGGATTCAAACTGTAGATAAAAAATCTACAGTTTTTCCAACTTACAGCAATGAAAAATATCTCATCCACATAACAACAAAATCTATGCAACATCTGGGAACAAATTAACAAGACATGAGCAAATCTCTGGGAAAAAGAAGCTTTAATGTATTTAAAAGATATGAGACCTCAATACATGAAGAGGTGTTGTTCCTGAACAGGAGGACCCATGACTGTGAAATTTTTGGAAAGTAGGGAATTAGGAGAGGACTTGCTTCATGAGAAAGCAGATATATTACTTACATAGAGAGAAAGCTATAATATTGTAACAGTGTAGCACAGCATGGAATGAATAAGCAGATGGTTAATACAACAATGAGAATATATATAGTGATTAATTTAGTTCGTGATTAATGGTGTTACTTCAAAGTAGTGGGGAAAGAACAGATTATTCAATAAGTGAGGCTAGGGTAACTCGTTAACCATTTGGCAAAAATTAAATTTACAGAAAGGTAAAGTGAAGGTCCTACCCCAATTCATTTATCAGCATAAATTAGAGATTTCAAAATTACACACTATTCTTGAGTGTAGTTTGGCAATATGTATTAAAATTTGAAATTTCCATAATCTCTTCTTGAACAATTCCATTTCTAGAAACTAATTTCAAGGTTAATGAACAAACGTACAGATACCTGTATGGAAGTGCCTGTTGCTACACTTTTTGGAATAGCGAAAAACTGAAAAGTACTTAAATATCTGTCACAAGGGATTATCTCAGATGCCTATGTGAGTAACATACATCAAAGCGCTGGAATGCTCGGAGTCTACTTTAAAATGGTGAAACATATTTCCCATATGTTTTGGAATGAAGGATATCCACATCATAGTAAGTGAAAAAAATCAAGCTCTAAATCTGTAGGTACGCTTTGATCAAATAAAAAATATATATATTTTTAATGTGTGGAGGTATAGGGGAGCTCAGGTGGATCTTAACATGTCTGTTTTCACACTTCCTATAGGCAGATGCTCCTTCTTTGCCTAGAAGATTCCTCCTCTCCTGCAGACTCTCTTTACTCAGGGAACTTCCTTAGGACTACATCCTTGAGATCTCAGCTTAAATGTCTTGGGGGTGGGGGAACGTATGGGGGCGGGCAGGCAGCCTGTGCTAGGCAAGCGCGCTCTCAAAGAGCCCTGTACCTGCCGAGCTACCCAGAAGCCACACTGCACCTTTTCATTTACCTACTTTACTTACTTCTTACTTTTTTCTCTAAACTCTAAGCTCCATGGGGACTGCACATGGGTCAGTCCCGTTCGTTCCGGAGCCTCCCTAGCACCGCGTTTGGCGAATGACCCTCGCTCACTGCCAAGCGCTGCGCGAGGCGTCGCCAGCGACCGGCCCACACCCTTCGACACCATTATCACCTCCGTTCTGAGCGCGAGGACCCAGGGTCACTCTGGAAGCCTGCCCCACCGGCGACTACTTCCCACCCCTGTCTGCCTCTGGGCACCACACTCACTATACGGTGACAAGTAAATACGGGAGGAAGGACGGCCAGCCAGGGTCGAGCATCCCTGCGAGCGGAGGGAGCGGGGCCGTGGGGAGACAGCACTGGCGCCCTTTAACCTCCACTCCCAACCGGACCCTCGCAAGCCCCGCCCACTCCGCGCCGAGCCCGGAAGGGAACGTGGGGCGGGGCGAGCTTCCGGGGGCGGGGCGGGGCTGGCGCTGATTGGCCGGCTTCGGCCGGAAGTCGGGAGTTGGGGGTCCGAAGAGGCCGGCTTGTGACAGGGAGGGGGAGAAGGAGGCCTGTGTGGAGATTGCGCCTCAGTCCCTTGACCTCCTGGGACCCTCAGGAAAAACCCAGCATCCTGGCCCCGCGGCCAGCCCCTTCCCCCAGGCTCTCTCCGCTCGATTTCGCCACCGTTATGTGGGAAGCGAATCCGGTGAGTAGCCGGGCGGGACGGGGCGGACCGATGGGCGGGGTTGACGGGAGAGGGCGGGAGGGGTTCCCGGGAACTGCTCCCCCTCGGCTGGCGCGGCCGGCTGTTGAGTTCCGGGGGCGCAAAGACCCCGGGCCTCCCGAGCGGAGACGGCGGCTCGGCGGGGTCCCAGCGCCGAGTGGCTGTCCTGTCCCGGTGATTGATTCTGACTTGCTGTGGTTTCTCCGCCCTCGTCCCCCCACCGTCTCTCTAAACTTTGCATTTCGCTTTCTGGCTGTTCCTGGGCTTCGAACCTGTCCTCGCCCTTGGCCTCAGGTGTACCTGCCAGCTTCCCCCACCCCCAGTCTAAAGCGAGGGCCTCAGAGGGACCGTCAGGGCTCCTTTTCCCTTCTTGGGGGACAGCCATTGAAAACGTAGGGGTGCCGAGCGTGTGTTCCAAGCCTCTGGACGGTGAAGTTCTGAGGTTTTTTCCAGTGGACAGAACTGATGAGCTGGAACGTTTCCGCTGCAGGTCCTGTGTCTCCCTCCGGCATTTGTATTGTGTCTGCGTGTGTTTTTGTTTAGTTAGCTTTTACACGTTCATTTATGTAATATGCAGCGTTGGGAGAATGGAATCCGCTTGCCAGGAGTATTCCGTTAGTCAGTCTCCTGTTAGAGATGCGGTACCCTAGTAACGGGGCAGAGATAGACTATTTACGCCTTCGAGGGGACTGGAAAAATGGCAGAATCACGTATCCGCAAATTGTTCAACTTCTTTTTTCCTTTCCTAGAATATATTTCCAGAAAAGTTAGAGATTTTTTCAGTAAATTCCCTTATGTTTTTAAATTTTTATCCAGTACAAACTAGTTTGTTGGTCTGGAGTTTTCGTTTCTATCCAAGGCCGTCATGCAACTGTGATCATCATCTAAGAACCTTTTTTTTTAAATGCATTTATAAAGTCCTTTAACTTAAGGCCACATCAAAGGAAAGCACTTAATGGTATTTGATTTTAGTAAAAATAATTTCAAATTGTGAGAATGTGCTCCCTTTTTATGTATTGACTGTCAACAGTCTTTATTCTACGTTATTATATAGGTATATGTGTGTGTGTGTATTGTTTTTATTGGCATTCCTTCTCTCCCTGGTTTTTCCGTAATAAGAATTTTTCCTCAGTCATCCGAGTACATGTCTCGCCTAAAGCCACATGTTTTAAATCCTTCACTACGTTATAAGCTCCATGTAGGCAGAGATTTTTGTCTGTTTCGTTTACTCTGGTATCCTCAAATTAGAGAACAGGGCCTGGCATACAGTAAGCGCTCAGTAAATATCCCTTGAATTAACAGAGGGGATTACATCAGGACTAGGAAGAGGCTTTTGCTCCCATGAGTCAGTCTCCCTCCTCCACCATATACATCAGGATTTGCTGTTGGATCACTTGTATGGCTGTGAGGATTATAAAGGTATTAATGAATATCTCCCATATTTGGTTTGTTATAGCATTATCTCCTTCCTTTGGAAGGAATGTTCGGTTTTCTCTGAAATCACCCCAGTGATTTTGCTTGATTTCAGTAGAGCAGGCTGACTTTGTTAACAGTGGTGAGCTTTCCACCTATAATCCCGAAATTTTCTTTTGACACTTCATGCCACACTGCTAGGTCTTAGTACTGCTGTGTTTTCTTACTGATACTGTTTGTCTTCCTCTGAGTATATAAATGCTGTCCATAAGGACAGTTTCTGTCTTTAAAAATACAACCCACATTCTGCAAACGAGTTTCCTCTTGTAATTTGTTAGTTTCTTTTCATAGAGGAGGCATCTGGATAGTATGTCCAGCTGTACTCATGGAATAAAAATTAATTTTAATGTTTGCTTAAGCCAGACATATCTGGGAGGCTTTAAAAAAAGAAACCACAATGAATGTGAAAGATAAATACAGATGACTTTCGTATTACCCATCAATTTAAATTACTGTTTACCATTCCTTTCCATTGAATGATATAATAAATTCTACTTTGTAGAGGAAGGCCATAGCAAACTGCTTTAAAATTGAAGCCTGCTGCCTAGATTCTCCCTGTAATTTTTTTTTGGTAGCATCTATGACCTTGATTTGCCACCTGTGGTCTGCAGATATACCCCCTACTGCAAACATGCCTTCTGCGTGATACTGTATTCCACTTGCAAGTGTTTTGAGGAAATAATGCGCTGACTCTGGCCATGGTAATACCCAGAAACCCCTTACATGTGGGAAGTCTCCATGACACAGTTTGAGTGTGGAAAATCACCGCTGAATTTGCAACATTTTCTTGGGTGCAAGAACCTAAAATACCATCATCAAGGAGCTATAAATAAGCTTTATCTCAGGACACAATTTTATTGTATTTTTCAAGGCAGTCATGAGGTCAGCGATGCTTCTCCTCCAGCCTTTCACTGACCAGACACCATGGAGTGAGCTTGAGCCTCCCCCCACCACCACAAGGCAGACAGACTGACTGAGCAGCAGGCGCTCGGCTCTGGTGTAAACCGGCCTCCTGGCCGTTCTCGCCCGCCTAGGGGAGGTGGCCCTGACTGACGTCTCCGGTTTAGGAGAAGGGCAAGATCTGTAGACAGGAGCTGGAGGGGACGCCATCGGTGCCTTGCCTCTGCGCACCCTGACTTGGTCCTGCCTTTCTCTGTTTCTGCCACTGTCTTATCCTTTGCTCGAATTAGAGTGAGTACACCAGTATTACAGCTTCTCTCTGATGAGCGAAAATGAAAAATGACAAACGTCTGTAAAAGTAACAAATCATCTATTGCAGTAATAAACTCTTACCTTATGGAGAGTGATGAACTCTCCCCAGATTCCTTTTCTCTGGGTTAGCCAAGGGAGGA